TATTTCCTCTTGTTCTCAGGATTAGAAACTCCTGACGTATATAATTTCCATCCAACTGGGATTCCACTTCAGTTTATTGCCATGCAGCCAATCTATCATGGTGCACAAGCACTGCGTTAGATTATATTATAGGTTCTCCTGATTCAGATGCTATAGAGAATTAGATCTGAAAATCGTTAGCAAAATTGTGACTCCTAATTCCAAATCTCCCAGTGGCCATACCCATTAGAAGCAGGATAACAACATCAAGATTTTGATAGTCAAAATCCCCCAGTGTTATTTTATGGAATCTGTTTCTTAGACAGTGGAGGGAGCTGCAGAGCAAGGCTCCCAATGTTTAATCCATGGACTTGATTCAGGTGAATATCATACTAACTGTATGAATATCATACTAATAGAATACCATACTAAGAATATCATACAGCCATTGAGAGAACATGTTAGACTAGTAAAACTTCACTCCTTCTAGATTCCACCTATGACCTTCTCCATTAAGATCATCCAACCAGATGACAAAAACCATCTTTCAGCAATGCTAGTAATTGCACCCTCAGTCTTTCTTTTATTTTATCTTAAAAAGGAGGTGTTTTCAGAGGTTAAAAAAACAAACACACTATCCCGCAATGATACATTCACTATACTGTAAGTGATAGAGCCGAGGTGGCGCAGTGGTTAGAGTGCAGTACTTCAGCTGACTGACTTCATCTGCANACTTTATGACTGATATCACTGATGTAGAACTTTATTCAGAGTTGAATTCTATAAGATATCCTAGCAAACTTTTCACTGTACCAACCGCAAAGTGAAACGTCTGTGCTGCTAAAATATGCAGAAATTTTTACCCAGAGAACCAGCACCTGACTGTGAATATGTGTGAAATATAGCAGCAACTCTAGTATCTTAATCAGGAGCATGTTTTCATGGTCGACGTGAGTGCAGTCTTCAACAGTATCAAACTCCGGTGAAGACAACAAACCAATTAGTTGCCCATTTGCACCATAAAAAGTAAAGTGCAGATGGGCATTAAAGACAGCTAAAGATATCAAAGATATCACTATAGCTATTAAGGCCCTGCAGGCAGTCATTATTTCAGTCAGGAACCATTTGCTCCTGGCCCTGGAAGTGGACTAACCTGCTGGTGACAATCCATTCTTTTCAAGGATGCCAACTATAGAACTTTAGACACCTAAAGGCCAAAATTCAGTATTTGAGTCAAGCTAATGATTGAATGAGATGTGCTTATAAGGGCAATTACTTTCCACTCTAATTCTGAGCAGAAAAAAAGCAGTGACATTCAAAATGTACTCACATCTTATCCTTTTGAATGAGTATTTCAGGGTAATTTTAATTATAATAGAAAAAATATAATTCTATACATTCTCACTCCTCATAATACATATTATTACAATTTTATAAATGCAATAAATGGCGGTTTTGTTTTGTCTTATTGTGTTTTTTTTCCTTTGCTGTGTTTTTCCTATTGTTTTTAAAGATCAAAACATTTAATATTTTTTTTAAAAAAAAGAAAGAAAGAAAGAAATAGCCATAGAGTACTGTGGAGCAAAAGATGAGCTTTCTAGATGATTATGTAATGGACAATATCTGGTCTCTGAGATCTTAATACTACTGAATATATTTTCTTTTGAATTGTTTCTGTAGGGCTGAATGGAATTCTGTATAAAGTCTGAATTATAACAACTTATTCCTATTATACTTCTATGGTTATTCTGTGGGGAAAAAAACTCTTTTTGCACATCTATAGCTGATGCTTGGCATTTCCCTGGAAGGCTCTTGACTGGAAGTTTTGAAATTGCCTGAATAAATTCACACCTGAACAAAATATTTGAAAAATAAGAGACAATGGAAAAAAATTAATATGCTTGTCATATGCTATGAAGCAAATCTGCTTCTGACTCACAGTTGTCATACCAATATACTAGCAAATATTCTGTTGAATTGCTTGTGAATTATTCATCTATGTTTTACTTCCACACTTGCTAGATTAAACCACTTACTGCAGTAGCACAGACATTTTCAAACTTAAATGAAACGGCTCTTTCTATAGATATGCAGAGAAATAATTCTGTGTCAAAACTGATCCCTGTATTTCAGGTCAAACATTTTACTTGCTTGTATTTTCTTCCTACTTATGGAATTAAATCAATACATGCTTAGTTAGAAAAAAAAATAGCTGCAGATGATGATAATCTATCCTTGATGTTAAATTTGATTGAACACGTTAGTTCATTCATTATTTGTGAGCGGTGTGGTGGCCTAAGGCTGAAGATGCTTGCTTCCCATTTGGAAGGTTGAGAGTTCAATCCTAGATAGAGGCAGATTTTTCTCTCTCGGGGTGCAAAGAGAAAATATCTGCTGTGAACTCCACATAGGCATCTGGAAGGGAATCTGGCCAATAAATGCTCAGCTCCATTCAGTCACTCCTATTCTACCCCAAATTAGGGGAGTAAAGGATTGTAAAAAGAAAAGGAAGTTCATTCTTTACTAGTATGATCCAAAAAAAATGGAAGTCTTTCCCCCATCAATGATAAAACCAAACTTCACAGGAAATCAAATAGGTTCACAACTTGTGCTATGCTGTAACATCCTCCTCCCCCAATGAATTAATTTATATTATACTTCCTAATAATGATATTGATGATGAGAGAATGTTGTATGGTGGCTACCCAAAATGGTAAGCTTGGCATTGCAGTCTTTCATCAGTTCAGATAAGATACCACTCATCTAAGACTCAGAAAGATGTGGTTTGACTTCCCCAAGACTTGGGACTAGGCAGATGATGTGCCCCCTACCTACTTATCTTTCAATCCTGCTGGCCATTCACAGTTGAAGGTGCTGATTTTGCATCTAGGCTACATTTCATACAACACACTAGGCCCCCCTTTTTGGTGGTATGTTTACTGCTCAATGTAGTGCACACAGTCTTGTGTTAATTTCCCACGCTGAATAAAATGTCCAGGGTGAATGACAACCAATCTGTGCCCCTCTTGCTATGCACAACACAAAACTCTTCTGTTCTCTTGGGGCAGGAAATTATTTGAACCAACTGAGAGGTGGTGGATAGAAAGGGAAGTGAGATTTTGCTGGGAATATAGGAAACTGGCTATTATTTGATTCCTTTTGTGTACTCAGGTTGCAATGCAAATTCAAACATACAAAGTTTGGGTCATGACATCATGACAGACAATTCCTTATCTTGATGTCATCATGCTTAGAAACAGATGCCTACGGTAGAAAATGAGGCAAATGTATTAGCCATTATCAGTGAAGTTCATAATCTAAAAGAAATGGGTATTGATGATACCAGACTGCTTGGTTAAGAATCCTTTCATTATCTGATAAATGTCTATCACAATTTGTTGTTCATGTTGTTAGCGTAAGGGAATCTGTAATGAAGCATTGTTATATGGATTTTTTAAAAAAAATACAGATCCAAAGACATAACTAAAAAAAGCGAATAAGAGGAGGCATAGATTGAAGCTTGCGAGTGATTTATTCAAATTCTTTAGTCAGAAATAGCAACAGGGTTAGGGTTAGGCAGTGGTGGGATTCCAAATGTTTTCCTACTGGTTCTATGAGAGAGCTCTTGAGCGCGTAGCACTCTAAGACAACCCTTGGTATCAGCACTGGTGAGCTGAGGTGTTGTTTAGCTCAGCTGAGGCGCAGCAATCCACTCTGCTGCACGAATCAGCTGAGCTAAAAACAAGGGACTATAGGACAGGAAATGACGGGGGTGGGGCCACTTCTCCGAACTACTCAAAATTTATGTTGCCGGTTCACCCAAACCGGTCCGAATCAGCTGAATACCATTTCTGGGGTTAGGGTTAGAAATGTTGGTATGCACAGGATAAAAAAAGAGAAGGCAGTAGAGCAAATCCATGTCAACCTTTTCACAGCTCTGTATGTAGTTCTGAAATTATTGTGCATGTTTACTAGAATTTAATATGTACTTATATTGTTGTTTGTTCAGTTGCTGAGTCATATACAATTCTTTGCAACTCCGTGGATCACAGCATGCCAGGTCCCACTATATTCCACTACCTGCCAGAGTCATACCCCTATTTTAATCATACGTTGTTCAATAAATCACAGGATAACCTTATAAACCACATTATGATTGAATTAACCACTGTAGCATGTAATCCATGATTATATCTTAGCATCATTTGTGAACCAAGAGAGTATGCCTTGTTTTAACCACAGCATACCAGGGAATGGAAATTTAGCCTTTCCCTCCTGTAGACCCTGAAATACATTATCAGATTATGAACATTGTAAGGAAACAGTATTCTTTCTCATTTTCTACTTCTTTGGTTCATGATCCCATCTATTTCTTCTCAAAAAGCCATTTAGTTCTTTATAAAATCCAAAATAGGCAGTTTCACAAAAATGGATGCACACGGCCTGAAGGTGTCTAGCTGCACATCATAATGAACCTTGGTGCCTACACCTCTGTTGTACAGCAAGGCAAACTTAAACAATAAGCCCCAAATGTTGGAACAAATTAATGAAATCTCACTGGGTTTTGTCTGCAGATTTAACGCTGACATATAAAGGTGACTAAAGGGAAGGTTGACGTTCTCTACATTCAGTTGGTGCTAATTTTTTAATTCCATCACCTTGACTAGCGATGGACTTGTTCACAGAGTGGGTCGGGGAGGCAAGAGAGAACAAAGGCATGAAATGAACTGCTTTTGTGTGCATTTGCTTTACAGTTGAGTTCCCTGTGGCAGTGGAATTTTTGGCTTAGGCAAATTAGTGTCAGTCCCATGCTTGAGTGCTCAGGCCTGAATCCCATTGAAAGTTCAATTGCATAAGTGAGGGCAGTAGAGCATTTCTTGTGCTTCACAGCTGGGAAGGCTGGTGGCTTGCATAAATCCACACTTTTTGCAGAGTGCCTTTGAATGAGGCGAGATCATACTCTAAGAAAGGGAGGTGTTCGCTGCCTGCACCCTTTTTTCAAAAGGTCTTGGGAAGCTTACCATCAATACTTGAAATGTTTTCTGTATCGCATTGCCCTTCAGGCTGCATGGAATCGATCACCTGCTCTCCTTTCTCTTCTTCTGCACCTTCAGAAAAGACAATAGAGGAGAATAGCAGATGAACATGGGTGATGTCTGGTTAATGGTCCATTTGGTTTCATTGTTATTTTCCATCAGCTCTCTGAATGCCAGGAGAGTGTTGGCTATTCAGGAAAAGATGAGAGAGACTCCCCGAAAGGATTGTGAAGGACGCCAGATTTCAAAAGAAATTTCTTCAAAAGTCTTTTGCAGGGGGCAGGATTGAGACTTTCATCAGAGCCTGGATTTTGGTTTGTATTGCCAGATTTTCTTTTCCAAGTGTCTCTGAAAAATCTCCTTATAACCACCACTATTATCACCACAATCATCATGACCACCACGAGAACTGTCCAATTGCAAAAGACAGTGTTACTTGGAAGAGCTTATATCCTGTGACAATACCGTAAACATCATCAAACAGCAGCTGGCTATCTCAGGTCTTTGAGAAGGACTCGATAAGTGGATAAAAGTGCCAAATCCATTCTGAACAACTGGCTGACTGTGTGACTTATCCCAATAATAAACCCGAAATGGGGACCTAATCAAGTTTTGAAAAGTTTCCACTCTGGAACATTTTAAATACTACCTGTTCATGGGTGGGTTCCGGCCCGCACTACTTCTGGTTTGCTCATGTGGGCGCTTTCTGACCATGTGCAGTGCAATTAAAATTGTTCTGCACATGCACAGAACTGAAAAACAAGATGGTGGCGCTGATGGTGCGGACTGGCAAACCAGTTCGGGGGTGTGGCAGGCCTGGGTGGCTGCCGGTTCCAGCGACCCAGGTCGCCAAACCACCATTGTACCTGTTCCTGAAAAGCCTGCCTCCTTAGCTGCCACATGCAACCTGGAATTTACATGTAAATTCCAGGTACTCGGCATTTTGGGATTTCCTGTGCCTCAGATTGCTCGGGAACTTTGATTGAAACTCCTAACAAAGCTCCAAAGTGAGCCATGTAGCCAAAGCCTCCTTCATGCTTTTGGCTTCATACCTTGCTCTTTCCCAATGTTATGATTTCAGATTTTTAAGAGACCAATTGCTAGCTGATTTCCATGATGGCTCTTCCCTATTTTATGACAAATGTAAAGCATGGCATGCCTACCCAATGGCTGAGCTATAGAAGTTAAGCAATTGGTTGCTAAGCAATCATCGGAATTTAGGAAGAGGGAAGCCGTTGCGGTGATTGAACATTTCAAAACATCTGTCTTTAAACACAAATAATACATTCTTTTCCCACAGGAAGTGCTGCGAAAGTATTGAAAGAGCCCCAGTTCCTCGCATCAAGCAAAGGATAATCATGAGGAAGCAGGCAGGAGGAAGTGAAACTGAGAATGCCCATTCTTAAATAAATCAGCCATTAAAAAGGGGCATGTACAAAGATCCATTTTTCCAAGGAGCTCGGAGGGGTAGATTTGACTTTCTCATTCATCCAGCCAAATTTTACCTTCATGAGAACTCCATGAAAATATCTTGATGGGCTTCAGAGTTCAAAGGGGATTTTAAAGTAGGATTCACCCCATTCTAGATTCTACTTTCCATGCTATACATTTATCATCAAGAAAATTAAGGCAATTTAATCAGCAAACTAAATGGCCACAAATGTCTGAAATAATTGGGGGGAAATCTGAATTTACTTTAGAGCCATTCAAGGTTCTTTCGTTTTTATAGATCATTGGACTTCCTTGATCTCACCACCTTTTTGTTAGATTACATATAAATGCCACTATTATTAGGCCTTCTTTTTTAGTGAGCTCCTGAAATGACAAGTTAGCATGCATATTAAAATTTCAAGACTTCTCTGGAGAAATCTGTAGGGCAGAGAAAATTTTCCCTTGGCATTTGTTAAACGGCAGTAAGCCTACACCTTCTAAAGTGTTTTCTTCATCACTGTCGTTCACACTTGGAGGATAAAACATCCAGTGTTGAAACATTAGCATTTTTTTCTAAAGGATCTGTCAAGCCAAGGGCCACTGGGTTCATTTAAAGTCATCCACTGAATTTTTATTGTCTATGTGTTTTAATAAAAGCTACTGGGATAGTTAGATGAGAAGCAGTTAAAAGCTCTCACTAGAATCGAAGGCCTTACATCCTCTTATACATTTTTAAAGGTTTGGGCAAGTATGTTTAGATGTGCTTTAATCTAAATGTAACATTGTTAAAGAAGGAAAAAATAAATAGATTTCAGTGTTATTTATTACAGAGGTTCTTCTCGATATTTCTCAGGTAGATTTTTGGGATGCATCCTAAATAGACTAGTGTTACTTTGTGGTAAGTAAATTTAATGATGCATTTAATACTAAATAAAATGATAATAAATAATGTCATAGCATCCATGCCTTACTACCGCTTTTTCTGAAAGGTTTTCCTGGAAGCCAATCAAAATGGCATGACGTGAGAGATGGTGCTCTCCCATTTTGAGAACACACAGCAGCATCAAGACATTTTGATATCCAGTTATGAGATGTCAGGCAGAACAGAAGCTTGCCTGAAATTCAAAAGCGAATTTGTTAGGACAATTGCATTCCAGTGCTTTGTTTGTTCACAACAAAGGGATCAGGAAGAGAGTGTCTGGCGGCAATCTGAGGAATAATGCTGCAATTTCCCTCTCCCTAGCATTTCTTGGATCATGTGCTCAAGCAACAAATGGTTCAACAAGCCAAAGCTTTCAAATAAAGGTTTTAGCAGGGTAGACTTTATCTTGTGTGCCAAACAGCAGTTTCAAAGGCTATGACACTTTCAAGAGTTTTGCATAGCCACGAAACTCTTGAATGAATGAATGAATGAATGAATGAATGAATGAATGAATGAATGAATGAATGTATGTATCTATGTATGTATATACATACATACATACACACACACATACATACATACATACATACATAAGCTGAATACCTGTGTTTCGCTATGAAACTGTGATCAGGTTATGTAATCAGGCTTGATAAATCGATTCGTACAGATTCAAAATTAATGAGTAGTTACGATTGGCCTCTCCCCTTCTCTCCCTCAGGCTTGCCCCATAGAAGCCTCTCCTCTTCCCCTTCTCTCCCACAGGCTGTCCCCATTGATCCTCCCCTATTCCCTTCTCTCCCTCAGTCTAACTCCTTAGCATCAGAGTGTTTTTCAGATGGGGAGGGGGAGTAGAATGTCTAAACTCCTAGCATGCAGGCCAGATGTGCTACGCACTGGCCACACCCATACCCAAGTGGCAGTTGGAACAGAGTTCTTTTCAGGTGGGGAGAGGGAGTGGAAAGTCTAACTCCTTAGCATCAGAGCTTGTTAATAATACTATAAGAAATACTAATGATCTGATGGTCATTTCAAAAAATCATTTCTTAGCGAGCACCTAGAAGCCAAGAGGAACATACGTGTCAAATTTCTAGTTTGTAAGCTTTATGGTTCTGGATATTTTGCGATGATGCATGAGTGGTATGCATCTATCTATCTATCTATCTATCTATCTATCTATCTATCTATCTATCTATCTATCTATCTAT